TATATATATAAGTGGTGCTGCAGATAATGCATTGGACTGCAAGGTTGGCTTGAACCTCAAGGTTCAAACTCACCAGTCTCTCCATAGGGTTGCTACAAGTTGGAACCAAGGACACTTAACAACAATATATATGAATTGATGGATTGATGGACAGAGATGTGATCAGAGTTTATAGAATTCTTACATGTGTCTGAAGATAAGTCATAAGAAAATAGTAAAATAGTATGAGAGGGACCGCACATTTTCTATCTTCTTCTTAAATCTAAATGCAACTGACAGAAATTAAAATCCCGGTGAAGAAAAAATGAAGTTCTAGATCCTTTATTTTTCAGCATGTGATTATAAAGACTGATCTACAACTTTAAAAAACAGAAAAGGAAATACAGCTAAAAATCTTAAATCTTAAATCACTGATTTAAATTCCACATTAAAGTAGAAAGTTACAGTAATGTTGACATTAAACCAGTTTTTTTAAAAAGTCTCCTATCATTCTCTTTAAATATCTAGCATCTTAAAGAAAAAAGTGTCATAAGTAGGGGAAAAAAGAAAAGGAGTTCTCGGTGTTACAGTGTTAATAACTTGGTTAAAACGTTCTTTTATCTTTTTTTTTTCAGATTTTAAATGATAATACCCAAAGAATTTGGAATCTATACGGCACATGACTTTCTTAGAAATATCTTCATCCATTATACTAACTTTAGAACTTTCTAATAATTTTAAGTAAAACTGATAATATTTCAGAGGTCAATGAAACCATTTTCTAAAGAGACAGGTGTAACTAACACTCTAGTAGATTTCTTCAGTTAACATTTCTGCAAGTAGTCAACTGAAGTACAATGGCTATTAAACAGCACAGCCAAACAGTGCAATTTCTTTATTGTTTCTCTACCAAACATGACTGTGACTTGTGAGTTAAGTATCTATTATTAATAGTTAATAATCTTTGCTTTTAGAATTCAAAATTTTACAGTTTAAAATTACAGAACAAGCAACACAAGCATAAAAATTTTAAAAAACAAAAAAATTCCAAGTCCCTAAATCAGTTAACTTTACAGGTGACTTCTCTTCTTTTTATTTTCCATTTTTTCCTATAATTGGTAAGTATTTCTGTTATAAATTGAAAGGGAGGGATCTTTTAGAAAAGTCATAATGAGTTTATAAATGACTTAAGCTTTGACTATTTGTGTCAGTTCCTACTTAAATCTACCAGAATTTGCAGGTTTTGCCATTTAAATTTATATTTTCTACACCTTATCACTATGATTTTTTGGTGTTGTTTTGTTTTTTCTTAATTACAATACGATTCATAACCCTTTTAGGTCACTGATCCCTTTGAGAAACTGATAAAAACTCTAGATGCTTTCCTAAGAGAAAGGCCCCTGTTTTGTATATCATTTCAATAGCAACCTGTTCATAAGCCTCCTTCAGGTTAAAATTTGTTAGGACATTTTATAATCATTAAAAAGAGCAGGCCTGGTTTTTAATCCACCAAATGTGTAAAACTCTCAAAATAAAATTATCTTTAACTCACTTGATATAAAAACAAATAAATATGAAAACCCTCACCAATTTGGTCATGAGTTCACTATGAACTAGCAAAAAAGTAAATTGTGGCACGGCCACTTTTATTGCAACTTGCACGTTCCTAAGTAAAATAACAATAGCGTAGTGGATTATGATCTGGGCTGCTAACTACAAGGTCAGTAGTTCAAATCTACCAATCTCTCTCCACAGGAGAAAGAAGAGGCTTTCTGCTCCCACAAAGATTTACAGCCTTGAAACCCTATGCAGGGTCACTGTGAGTTGGAATGCACCTGGTGGCACACAATCACCACCAACCATGTCAGAATTGGGGCTTTTGTCTAGCAAAACAAGAATAACAAATTCCCAGCCTTCCACCGCCTCTCAGGCAGCACTGCATAGCAGCTACAACAGCTCTGTGTCCGTCCGTCCGTCCTCACACAGTCTCTCCTCTGCTTGGATGTTTTACTGTCTGCTGCTCCATTTTATTCAAAATGAATGGAAAATGAAAAAACTCTCAAAGTGCAGTGTGGTATACAAACAGCAACAAACAACTCCTTAGGCTCAGCAGAAATCTACTGGACTTAAGGTGACCACATGAAATCGTGTTGGACATGCACACTGCAAATATGTGATCCAAGACTGCTCTAAATGGTGAGATGGAATTAGGGAGTTTTACAACAGTTTAAACTCTGAGGGAAAAAAATGTCCTATAACATACAGGTTTGCCTTTTATTTCCAGAAATTCATTAGGTACTAAACTAGTTAGGTCGCTTCAAAAAACATGATTAAAAAAAAGGTAGCGGACTCCTAGAAGTAACAAATTTGAATTACAATTTAAAT